AACTTTAAAAAATATATTTTTAGTAACAGTGACTTTGATCTTTAACCTCAAAATGATGTCTCCCCTTCCGTATATTTTCCATCTGTATAAGTATCATTCTGATCTAGCAGGAGAAACTGAAGTTTCCATACGGAAACATTTTTTCATAATTTTGTTCTATTCATAACCGTGACTTTGACCTTTGACCTATTGACCAAAACATTAATAGGCTTCTTTCCATTGTCTATATTTTCTATCTGAATAAGTCTCATTCCAATCAAGCAAGGGAAATTCAAGATGCCATCCTAAAACCTTTTTTTTTTTAAATTATATCATTATTAACAGTGACCTTGACCTTTGACCTTTGACCAAGTGACCCCAAATCAAAACAACTTATTCCCATTTTCTACATCTTTCATCTGTATAAATTTCAATCCAATCAAGCAAGGTGAACTCAAGTAACCATCCATAACCATCAATAACTCGCTCCACTAAGCATAATAAATTCAATTTTTAACAATAAAGCCCCCTCCCCTTTTTCAAAAATCTGGATCCGCCCCTGGACAGTCCAACAATGAAAGAACAAACTTAGGTTTAATATTTTTACATGTTTTGATAGTTAAACCACAAACAGAAAGCAGACGGAAATTACAATTACTTTATCAGTACAATGAAAGATTGTTTGACAACAGGTTGACAAATTAAAGATCATACTTCCTATTGAATTATATTTCTTCCTCTTCCTAGACAAAAAAAAACGTTTATCTTATAAAAGTCAAAGTAACCACATGTATACCAAATAAGTACAAGTTACTGTTATAAAATTACACACCACTTTAAGTGTTTTATTGACCTAGAAAAAACCTCTAATTTTTCATGCAATAATGTAATTAGAAATTCAAATGTATTTGGGTTATCATAATGACTGTCAATTGACATTATCATATATATTAGTAATTATCTTGTGATTAACCTCCCAAATTACAATCATTAAAAAAGGTTCACCTCAAAGAAGTTGAAAAAAGGGTTAAAGGTTATACGTCAGCATCCCAAAGACTCAAAACCAAACATCATAAATATACATGTAGTATTTTTAGTGGAGAAAAAGTAGCTGAATATGAGATTCTCCTCAGACCCTGATACATGTATATGGGTCACTCGTCTGATGAAAAAACCTAACGTTTCTTGATATTTTGTTCTAGTTCTTATTAAATGCTTATCATGAAATAAAGTACAATGTATTAGTCTTAGCAACTGTTTCTGAAGAATTAAAACATCTGGGGTCATTAGCCATTACGCTTTAATAGATCATACATATTCAATGAAAAAAAAACAGGAAATAACTGAAAAAAGTAATATGTGATATATCAAAAGATGTTGATACACATCATTTTGTGACAAGGAAATTACATGTATTCTACACATTTTTAAAGTTTATTAATGAACCGCACATAGTTTAAGTGATTGTGTTAGAAGGTTAGACAGAAAATAAACAGAGAGTAAATCTTACGTATATCAGTCTTTTTTTTACAAAATTAATCAGCATTTATATCAGTGCACATGGTCCCTCTTACTGTCGGCATATTTAATGGAAGGAAATGAAACACCAGTGAATTTTGCCCTCTAAGGAATTAATTCTATTTAAATTTGTTAAGAGTAATGTTAAAAGTATAACTAACTCAAAAGCAGATCAACATCAATAAATACTTTCAAAATATTAACAGACAAATGGACAAATATAGATATCCTTTATAAGCAATAATTATTTTTAAGATTCTGTATCAACATGATCTTTAATCATTTTCAAGATATGGACAGACAAATATAACCTACTTTTCACTTTTTTACTAATAATTCCAAATGACATTTTGAAAAACTCTTAAATAAAAAAGAATGCTTGATGATATGCTTTTTGAAATATAAAGTAAGAATATGTTTTTTTTCTTTATATTCAATATATATATTCTTTAATACCTCTTGTACAGAGGTGTGAAATATATGACATTTGTATAATTATAAGATCAAATAATTCATAATCATTGTTTTTGGCAAGTAAAAGAAAAATATTTAATCGTCTTCAGAGAAAAACATAAGAATGTAAGGCATGTTTACAGAGCTTGTTTATATCAAATTCCAAATCTTGTTGACCTTTATAAGGTTACAGTTACACTTAATAAGATACTGGTAGATACTATAAAGTAATACAAACCTCTTTGTTGAATCTACAAAGTGTCTTATGTTTTTCCTGTAATTAAATGTGGACAAACCCAGGCTGACACCAGGATGTAAAGAAATTAGGTTTTGACAACAAAACATTCATATTTTTTAAGAGAAACAACTTCTTATAGACAAATAATTGATATAAAGTGTGTGATTTAGTCTGCACAATGGTAAAGTTGACCTCTGTCTCAGGCAAAAGATTTTTTATTGAATATAAGCCTGCCCCAACCTTAATCTGAAGAGTTGACACCTATGTTTCATGTAAAGTTTTTTTTTACACTTCACTTAATCAGTACAGCATTTGGTAACTACATGTGCATCAAAAGTCATACCTTCATGTACATGTACATGTACATGTATGTCATAAGAACTTCAATTTGATTTGTATTTGTCTAAAGGCAGAAAACTGGGTAATACAACCCCTTGTGTTGCATTATACAACACACTAAAAGGATAACAATCTATCTTGACTATATGTTGTCAATATGTGAAAATAAAAGACCACCAATAATTTGGAACGCAGAGTCAAAATGTACTTGAAAATTACTAAAGGAAGCTATGTACAATGTAGCTATGGTAGCCTCAGCTGGTGAAAACTGATGCTCAAGAAAACAAGAGTGCACACGCTGAAATGTCTCCCCTTCTTTACAAAACCATTGATTTTATGTTGATAGTCCTAAATATAAAGCTTTACTACAAGTAACACATAAACTTAACATGATCCAAGAAAATGAGGTCAAGGTCAGATAAACCAAACGAGAAATACATGTACACCTTACAATCATTCAATAAACCAAACATAGTTGACCTATTGCTTATAGTTTCTAAGAAGCAGTCTTAACCAAGAAAACTTAACATTGACCAATGAACCATGAAAATGAGGTCAAGGTCAGATGAACCATGCCAGACAGACATGTACACCTTACAATCAATGTATGCATTAAATATAGTTGACCTATTGCTTATAGTATCTAAGAAACAAACTTAACCATGAAAACTTAACATTGACCAATGAACCATGAAAATGAGGTCAAGGTCAGATGATACCTGCCAGACATACATATACACCTTACAATCATTCCATACAACAAATACAGTTGATCTATTGCTTATAGTTGAAGAAAAACAGACCTAAACACAAAAACTTAACACTGAGAAATGTACTGTGAAAATGAGGTCAAGGTCAAATTAAACCTGCGAGACTGACATGTACATCATAAAATATTTCCATACACCATATATAGTTGACCTATTGCATTTAGTATTAGAAAAAAAGACCAAAACTCAAAAAACTTAACTCTGACCACTGAACCATGAAAATGAGGTCAAGGTCAGATGACACCTACCAGTTGGACATGTACACCTTACAATCATTCCATATACTAAATATAGTAGACCTACTGCTTATAGTATCTGATATATGTACTTGACCACGAAAACTTAACCTTTTTTCACTGATCCATGAAATGAGGTTGAGGTCGAATGAAAATTGTCTGACGGGCATGAGGACCTTGCAAGGTACGCACATACTAAATATAACTATCCTATTACTCATAATAAGAAAGAAATAAACATTACAAAAAATTTTGACTTTTTTTTCAAGTAGTCACTGAACCATGAAAATGAGGTCAAGGACAATGGACATATGACAGACGGAAACTTCATATCATAAGGCATCTATATACAAAGTATGAAGCATCCAGGTCTTCTAGCTTCTAAAATATAAAGCTTTTAAGAAGTTAGCTAACGCCGCCGCTGCAGGATCACTATCCCTATGTCGAGCTTTCTGCGACAAAAGTCGCAGGCTCGACAACAAACAAATCAGTCAAAAATACTCCTAACAGGTTTCATTGAGTCTCATCATAAAAGTTAATTGAAATCGGCAGTATTTGTGAGGGGCTAGTAAGTATTCCAAATTATCAGATCATTTGAAGAAACAATAACTTTTACTGAATTAGTTATCACACCTTGCATTTTAAAGATGTTACAACTTTCTATACTTTAATCCTGCTTTAAAGATGAACTTTGCAGACCATTGCATTGTTGGAAATTAATTATAATCTGTTTTGCAAGTTAACGGCAGTGTTAGAACTAATTATAAATCACAATATCATATGTTACAGTGTTAGAACTAATAAATTACAATGTTATCACAAATGTATCAGTTGTGCAAGAAACCTGTAGTGTTAGAACTAATTATAAATTACAATGTCATTCTGTTTTGCAAGCAAACTGCAGTGTTAGAACTAATTATAAATTACAAAGTCATCTGTTTTGCAAGAAAACTGCAGTGTTAGAACTAATTATAAATTACAATCAGAATGTCATCTGTTTTGCTAGAACTAGTGTTAGAACTAATTATAAATTACAATGTCATCTGTTTTGCAAGAAAACTAGTGTTGGAAAGCAATTATAAAATACAGTGTCATCTATTATGCCAGACTCCTATTATAGAGCACTGATTGGTCATAAATTATGGCAAATTGATGTCACATTATCTTAAAACTGTTAAAACTTTTCAAATGACTCACTAGACAAGTCTATATATTGTCATTGTTGTTTCAAATCAAAACCTTATCAACCCCATACAAAATGAATTCATAGTTTTATGCGTACATCTTCAAATAACTTTATTTTGTTTATCAATCTGTTAGTACTTGTCGTACTACACTCAAGTGTACTGTCATCCTGGTTTATACTTATGATTAAACGTGTGTGTTAAATTGATGTTATAATACAATATCTTGTATATAAATGATCAGATGATACAAACATACAATATTCTTGCAATAAATACAAACCATGACTTTTACAATCAGCACAAACATTATTTCCCGGTTTGTTTAATAACTCCAGAAGTGTGGCTCTATTCCGATCCGCCATCTTGGCAGGATTAATATTGTTCTAAATTTAGTATCAGGTGATTTTTACGCCCAATATAGTTCATTGGCGGGAGTGTTTAAATCATCAGGGAAAAGTTCAATATAGGGTCAATTATTTATTGTAATTAATTTATTTATAAATTGTGTTTTTTTATCTTGATGTATGGTCGTCTAATTATTTACGATTCGAGTGCATCTGTTTTGTTCTAAGGTCAAGGTTAGTCCTATAATATAAGACTTCGGAGTTTCATATCATTTACATTGAACGTTTTTTTATCGGATATTTATTTTTTTACTATCAATGTTGACTAAGGTCAAGGTAAACTTTAGACATGCTTTTAAAAGAGGGACGAAAGATACCAGAGGGACAGTCAAACTCATAGATCGAAAACAAACTGACAACGCCATGGCCAAAAATAAAAAGACAAACAGACAAATAATAGTACAGATGACACAACATAGAAAACTAAAGACTAAGCAACACGAACCCACCAAAAACTGGGGGTGATCTCAGGTGCTCCGGAAGAGTAAGCAGATCCTGCTCCACATGTGGCACCCGATGTGTTGCTTATGTTATTACAAATCCGGTAAACTAGTCTAATTCGGTAGGTCACATTCGTGAAAAGGGAAGGGTATTGTAGTAACGACATAAGGAACATATCCGATATCATCTGTGAAACGGTTATTCCGTAACGGACAACCAACTCGTGATGGCGTCCGTAAAATTTACGAAGGGATGATCTCAACTTCACCATTTGGAACTCTTGGTTTAATAGCTTCCTTGTGAGCAGCAATCCTCTATCAAGGAAATCATGATAGGAAATCCGAAATACAAGCCCGGGAATATCGTATCAATTGGGAGATATATACTCCGTATGCAGGCGCTGGTGGAATGTTGCTACATAGAAATGGAAAGTTCACAATTGGGAACCTGAAATCATCTCTTTTGTCGTAAAGTTTTGTTTTCAACCGACCCTCATTGTCAATTTCTAGATGTAAGTCAAGATATGAGGCAGACTTACCTGTATCTGTAGTATCTTTTATCTCTAGTTCGATGGGATAGATACGTTAAACATAGTCACCAAATGTTGTTTTATTTAGTGAGAGAACATCATCTGTGTAGCGGAATGTAAAGTTAAAGGATATTGCTAACTTCTTATCTTTCTTCCTAAGAAGTTCCTGTATGAAGTCAGCCTCATAATAATAAAGAAACAAGTCGGCAAGAAGAGGGGCACAATTGGTTCTCATTGGAATTTTGACAGTCTGTTGAAAAACACGTCCTCCAAACGTAACAAATATGTTGTCAATCAAGAAATCAAGCATCTTGATAATGTCAGTTTCAGAGAATTTTTTGTTTGAATCAGTGATTCTTTACAAAGTAGGATTTATCCCTCCCCAAGACAAGATACTTGTATCTACGTTCGCCATTCTTTTTAATGAAACAAAGTAATACCAACTCTTTCAATTTGTCTTTTAGTTTGGAATGGGGAATACTTGTGTAAAGTGTAGAAAAGTCAAATGTTTTAATACTATTGCAAGATGAGAGAGTCTTAGATTGTATGTACTCTAAAAGATCTTTGGAATTTTTTTTAGTATCCACCTCTGATTCACGCCACCTCTAGAATAGGCAGTTTCACAATAACTTTGGAGCCCGGCTTTGATTGCTGATAAAATAGATGTTAATAATTTAGAAAGAGGTTTCGTGGAGCACTTGGAAGACCCAGCAATATACCGTTGTTTGTAAGGACACTTATGTAGTTTAGGTATCCAATACAGTGATGGAAGATCCAGTTCTTCATCTTTGGTTGAAATTCCAAAGGAACATAGAACAGACCTATGATTATCCAGGATTTCCTCTTTGGTAAGTGTCGTGCGGGTATATGTTGAGTTTCCAAGTGAATTGTCAATACCTAGTTCATTTATCAAGCAGTTTATGTAATGATATTTACACACAAAAACGATGTTGTTTGGGGCTTTATCTGCGGGGACAACAACATATTTGTCATGGAGGTAGAACAAGTGTTTTGCAACATTTGGGTCTTTAAAAATTGACGTAGCGTGGGTATTGATAGACCCATTTAGTTTCTTAATTCGGATTTGTATCAACGACCTCACAGTCTTAATCCATTCGGAAAGAGTATCTACGTCTTCTTTCTCGCGTTTAGCCCATTGCCTGGCATAATCCTTGACTGAATCCATCAATATTTTGATGGTGTATTTCCAATTGATGGATTTAGGCTCACGACATTTCGGACCTTTGGATAACAAATTTCGCAGGGAAGTGTTATTGACAATGTTGAGGTCTCCGGTAATAACGTGACCAGCCGGATTATATGTGAATTGGGAACTAGCACAGGTGCAATCAGGAGGTTTAGACTTGAAGTCGTCAATGTTGAGATCCTGCAAAACGTGTTTGTAATTGAAAATTTTAGTTGCAATTGGTTTGGTATAGGTATAAGAAATTATTGGTATGCTAGTGTTGCCGGACTAATGATAGTCTAAAATTGACGAAACTGAAACTTTGAAATTTATTATTTCTCACCATCAAAACAAAGGATAAGCGAACAATAAAAAATAACATTTATACAAGAGGGTGTGGGTAGGGGTTTACAAAATAGAGAATAATGGGCAACAAAATATAAAGAATAAAGAAAAACGGACCGATAAATATAAAGACTGGAGAATAATGAGTGGCTTAAATATAATGAATAAAGAATAATTGGCAAAAATTATAAAGAATAGAGAAAAATGGCCTAAAAAATTAAAGAATACAGAAATGAAGGACCCCCCCCCTTCCCCCCACCCTCAAATCTAGACCCTCATACAACAGTAATGGATGAAATAGAGTGACTGAAGAGAATTTGTCAAATCTAGAGACATTCCATGACTTCCTATCTTCTTGGTCTAAATAAACTCATTAGATATACCAGGCTAATAATTGTGTACGACAGACTTGTGTACAAAAGACTCATCAGTGACGATCGAATCAAAAAAGTTATTAAAAGGACAAATAAAGAGTGAAGTTAAATAGCATCGAGGATCCATAAGTCCGTAAGATTTTGCCAAATACAGCTAAAGTAATAGATAACATTAAGAGGTCAAGAATACATTTCACAACGGGCTTCTATCAAGATCATGTTTATTACGATCCCTCAACTATTTCGACGCATAATTCGATCTCACGGCTAAAGAATAGTTGATGATAGTTCGTAACAAACGTCACCAGATGCCAAAGTAAAAGTCCTTCAGATTATTGTTGAGATTGAACAACATTCATCAAGGTTTATCTTCTTTAATAGCTCTGTTCTAAATGGATTTTTGAGAAAACGCAATTTTGATATAGCCCTTCAACTGTTTCGGTTCTTATACATCCTTGGCTTTCAAATGTTCGGCTTTCAGCGTTCCTGGTGAACGTAAATCCAGAAAAGCGCTTTGGACGTGAAATTTAAAACGTGTTGTTTTCATTTTTTAAGTAAAAATGTATTCTTTTGGCCGCATTTTATAAACATTCCATACATAAACAAGTTGATAACACTGTTTAATGTTAATTATTTCATCTTGTTTATTTTTTTCATAACATTATATGCAGTTTTATTAAACATTATCATTATACCTGACTAATGTCATCTGACTAATGCCATCTCAGTGAAGATAAGTCATGTAACTATAACTGTGTAACCCTCTTAAAATGAAGTATTGTTGTTGTTGTTATTGCTAGACCTATTTCACAATTTTGTAATTTTTAAATAATCTGTTGATAAAGTAATTGGGCGATTATTTCGGATCTTGGTAAAAGTTTGTATGTATTTAGAACTTGAATCCCATCAAAATGATACTCAAATTTGACAATTTTCAAACTTTGGTTACGGGTTTCAGCTATCGCCAATCGTTTATAATTTGGTAATCTGTTTAGAAATAAACAAAAAAAAATATTGTTAAAACCTAACAGTACTCAAACGGAGCTGTTATATTGCAAATTTAAGTAAAGATTGAAAGACTCTGAAAATTATCCTACTGTGAAATAAATTCAGGAGAAATTGGCCCTACCTCTTTCTTGCTTGACAATAATTTTATATAAGTAAGGAGATGTGGTATGATTGCCAATGAGACAACTATCCATCAAAGTTCAAATGAAGTGGATGTAAGCAATTAAACCAACCGTACGGCCGTCAAGAATGAGAAAATCCCATACCGTATAGTCGGCTATAAAAGGCCCCGACGTGATAAATATGAAACAATTCAACTGAGAAAACTAACGGCCTAATTTATAACAAATCAGTTTACGAAAAATAAATATGACAGACATGAACCAACAACAACCACTGAACTACAGGCCTCTGACTTGTGAGAGGCACATACAGAATGTGGCGGGGTTAAACATGTTTGAAGGCGATATATATCCTCCCGCTAATCGTTAGAAGATCGTTTATACTGAGTTAAATTGTCGGAATTCTTATGAGCATCAATTGATGGCCATAATGGAAAATAGCTTCACGTGCGTTTGTAGTGAATATTTTCAACTCTGGTCATGGTCATCGTCATGGTCTAGTCATGCCCCAAACAACATCGTTATTGTGTGTAAATCACATTACATAAACTGCTTGATAAAGAAATTAGGCATTGGCAATTAATTTGGAAACTCAACAAATACCCCCACGACGCTTACCAAAAAAGAAATCCTGAATAATCATAGATTCTATGTTCCGTTGGAATTTCAACCAAACATGAAGAAATGGATCTTCCTTCACTGTATTGGATACCTAAGTTACGTAAGTGTCATTACAAACAGCGTTATATTGATTGTATTCTATCAGTAATCAAACCCAGGCTTCAAAGTTATTGTGTAACTACGTATATTTACTCTAGTGGATGCGTGAATCAGACGTGGATACTTAAAAATTCATAAGATCTGTTAGAGAACATGCAATATAAGTCTCTTTCCTCTTGCAATAGTATTAAAACATTTGATTTTTCTATCCTTCACATAAATATTCCCCATTCCA